TGCACGGCCATTTTGGTGAAGGGGGGCAAAAAATGCTGTATTCAGTGTATAAGACGCACCCAGATTTTCACCTCTTTTTTGAGGAAAAAAGGTGCCTCTTATACTCCAAAAAAGTATGGTAAGTAAAAGACTTGTAAAAGCTAAGTGAAAATTGAGGGCTTGGACTCCTGTAACATTTTAACATTAGGCAAACTCCCCCCATTTGGTAAATGTTGAACAAGTACAGATTTCCCCCCCACAACGTAATTCTGGGACTAGTGCTTGGCTAAGAGGCCAAAACCACCATTAAGCTTCTTTAAATAAGGATGGCTTTGAACGTGTGTCTTCTGGATTCCAGTCCACCTCCTTTGAGAATATACACATAGATGCATCTCTAGATTTTGTGTTTTGAATAAAATCTATTGCTGTAATTGCTAAAAGTCAACAATAACTTGATGGCATGTAATAATCACAATAACTTGATGGCATGTAATAATCACAAAGATCTGTATAATATAAGGCAAGAATAAATGCAAAAAAGCATATTAGTTTCATTTTTTACATAATTTTAGCTTTAATTTTAACCTGAAAAAATAGTTACTGTCATTATCACTTGCAGTGGTCAACAAGTATTGTTTTGGTTCAGTTTTGTTTTCAAGCATCTCTTCTAAGAGTAACCAAAGCTATATTTAGAATGGTAAGAGACTGGTTGAAAACAGATCAGACAGATATGCTGTGGTAGAATCTGCAGCTAGAGGACCCAAATTTATGGCCGTTGCAGTATAATAAGTGGCACAACCCATAACTGCCATTGTCTTGCCATTCCCAAGGAAATATGGTCAATATGATCAAATCCTTGTAACATTGATAACTAGCAATAAAACTACTGTTGAGATATTTCACCAATGGTTCTGGTTGCTTTTGCCTGACATATGTTTAGGTCAGTGACATGTGGTGAGGTTCACGGCCGGTGAGGCAAGCCGGCAAATGCCGCCCTATGTCTGCCACCGCCAGCCATCCGCATTGGGGCTTTGGGGTTGGCTTCAGTGGGGGGGAGAAAGAAGGGGAAACCAGCGGCTAGGCAATCCGCTCATACACACGCGCCCCCGGCCACACACTTCCCCCTTTGCAAAAAGGCAAAGTCGAAGCAAAAGCAGGGAAAGCAGAGCCAGACCCGAAGGTGGTTTGAGGGGGTTAAAGAGAAAGTGAGGGACCGGAGAGGAGCAGGGCGAGCGCTTCCCAGCTCGGTCCTCCCAGCTCGGTCCTCCTCCCTCAGCGGCCTTTGAGTCAGGGCGGAAGGACGACCAGAGAGACTCAGACGAGCAAGCAGTGCACAGCGCTCCAAGAAGCAGTGGCACAAAGGGCGCCCCGGCTGCCTTCCAGCCTCCCTCCGTCCATCTCCTCCCAACTCGCGCGGCAAAAAGAGGGTTTAAAAGGACCAACAGGTGGCGAAAGAGAAAGCCGTCATGTGACGACAAGCCCGCTTGCGGCTCCCGCTCCAGCGTGACTCCTTGGTTGCAAAAGTGGAAAGTTCCTCTGGGTGTGTGCAGAGTGCCGCCTTCATTAAACCCAAGTTGGGCTGAGTTTCCTTTTTTTTTTTTAACCATGAGGCAGTTTTACGGGATGGAGTGGCTGCACTGAATCGTGAGGGTGCATGCACACACACCGCTGTCTTTAAAGTGTATGCCGCTGCACTGGCCATACAGTGGGACGTTTATGTATGGCTGGCGCGGCAGCATGCACTTTAAAGTGCCGCCGCGGCTTTTCACCATAGAGCGGGACATGTCCCATTGTATGGCCGGCATGTCGGCATGCACTTTGAAGACAGCGGTGTGTGTGCGTGCGCCCTCACGATTCAGTGCAGCCACTCCATCCTGTTAAACTGCCTCATGGTTAAAAAAAATAGGAAATTCGGCCCGACTTGGGTTTAATGAAGAAGACACTGCACACACCCAGAGGACCTCCTCGATTTTGCAACCAAGGAGGCAGCTGAACCAACGCGGCGGCATGCACTTTAAAGTTTTAAAAAATAATAAATAATAAAAAATAAAAAATAAAGTGCCAGCCTGTGCGCCAGCAGAGGCGGGTAAAAAAAACACACACACACAAATTAATCACAATAATACAAANCTTTTAAGTCTGTCTGACTGTCGTCTGTGAACGAGCAGAGAAGGGGGGTCAGAACACCAATATATTTTAATTAAGAAGCATTCATTACGGACTGAGGTATAATAAATCAATATGGAAAGACATGAACACCTACGTAACAAATACATACATACAATAGAGCTATTTAACAGTAGTAAGTATAGAATGCATTAATCTTTTTTATTTATTCAATAAATATTTCTGGCTTTATATAATTCTAAGTGAATGAATAAAATAATAAGCAAAACATGTGAAATAAATTGATTAAGAGTTGTAAGGAATTATAGTATAATATTTAGATTGGTATTCTTAAATGAAACCAAAAGAAAAAATATCCAGTTTGAACCATAATATAAATAAAATGAAGATGTTTGATGAAGAATAAAACTAATCAGTTATCCTCAGTTTATGCACAGATTCCTTTAAGTTTAAAGTGGACATTTATGCAGAAGGCTTAAACATTTGGATATATTGTGTGTATTCAATATGTCTGTTTATAATTATCTTTTTTGCTTAGTATCTCCCATTTTGCTTTAATTTCCATATTAATATAATAATTTGGCCAGTTTGATATTACACAATAAGTTTCATAATGAAAATGTTTGAAATTCTTACATAACATCAATTCACAGAGTAAATCAATATCCTATTCCAGATGTAATCTATCATGTCATTGAATTAAGCATTGTTGGTTCAATTGCAAAAATCAGAGCATCATTCAACTTGCATAGATTCAATGTACTATAAAATGTTCTTTTTCTTGAATTTCATGTGTGTTTTCAAACGTACTGTTCTGCAGAAAAACTTCAACAGAGGAAACAAATTAAATGAGCCATCACTACTTATAGATCCTTTCTACAAATATAGTATGTTAATACTATAATTAATATTTAGGAAAATATTATTAGATATCCCAGTGTTACTATAGTACCAATAAGATCTTAGGTAGGACCACCTTCTACAAATGGCGGCTTTCCCGGACTCAGCCCAAATATTTATACAATGTTTTTAAAAAAAATGCTTTGTGTGCCCTGAATTAATCGAAGGAGCAAAGTAGCTGAGGGAATATTCAACTTCTTGTTTAAATGCTAAAAGAGGAGTCACAGGTTATTTTTTATGTGGAGCACTAAGATCTGTCTTCACTAACAGCACATTTCTTTCTCAAAAGCTATGAAAGTCATCCTAAAACTATATACTGTATTATGATGCTACAATCCCAGAAATATTTTGCTAATTTGGCATAATCTAAATTTAAATCCCAGAAGCATTTTCGCATAAATTACATTTTGTTAAATTAGCATAATCTAAAAATAGCCAGATTCTTCCTAGCATGAGCAATCATTTGCATTGCTAAACTCATTTTGATAATTGTTTACATACTTATGGGTATATTTTTAGTATAAGGAAATGTGTTTTTTTAACATTTGTTCATAGCTATTATGTTCCTGGGAATTACATAATTGTGTATGCATGGCAGAACATGGACTACAGATACGATTTCATTTCTCTCATCTATCTATTTATATGTTGAATAGTTAATAGGATGAGTTGGGATTGAGATTCTACAAATAAAAATTTATTGATCACTAAGCAGTTTTTTTTCTTTCTTACAAAGTCAAAAAATATTTCAATATCTATAAAAATGGCCCAAAGTTACAGAGGCATGAAATAATTTGAAATATGTTCAGTTTGTTCTACTGCCAGAATTTTTGTTTAATCTAAAAAAAACAAAAACAGTAAAGGGATGGCAGATGGCATACAGATCCTAGTGGCTCTAGTCTGGAACATGTGAGCAATCTTTCACATATTATTTTATTAGGAATATTCTATGTAATGGCCTTTTTACGCTTAAGCATAAACTTTTGTTGATACATAGCTGTGGAAGATGTACTGTATAATAAGAATGTAATTGTGACTAAGCAAGGTATTATTCTTATAACATTTTTAGAAGAAGTATTCGCTCTGGGACATTTCAAATCAAGGAATAAGTGCAGATTAATGTAAGGTGACCAGACGTCCCGCTTTTGGCGGGACACCCCCGCCTTTTAATGCATTTTCCCGCGTCCCGCCCGCTTTTTNACACACACACACACACACACACACAATACAAACAGTACATATACAACTGAATGAAAAAGAAAGGAAAACAAAAGCAAAAGAAAAAAGAAAAAAAACATGGGAAATGATCCAAGATCCTTTCCAGCTCTATTATTCTGTTAAATCTTCAGATCAGCCAGCATTCCCAGTGGACAGAAATAGAGGAAGATTTAATCTAGTAGTATCTAGACCATTGTTAACTTGAAGATGTATGGACTTCAATTCTCAGAGTCCCCCAGCCAGCATTAAATCAAACCACTATTTTTTTTCTTTTATTACCAAATGTCTTTCCCCCATTAGTTTTGCTGTTAATGCATGCAATAAGCATAGTCCAACCAGTGTAGAATATAGGATGAATGAAAGTGGTCCAAAAATTAATTATAATTAATAATGTGTGGGAAAATGTATCCTAGTCAAGCTCATAATGGAATTCTCAAAAGAGTCCCATAAATGCAATTAATGTTTGTTTCTCTAACTGTCACCCAGGCTCATACACGTGAAACAATGTACGTGCTCTTTTATTTCTTCATTTTCTCAAATTCAATGCTGGTATGGTTTAACATATGGCAAGGAAGTTCATTACTTCTGTTTACTATTCACGTTTCAATATTTTAAAAAAGGCTTCCTTCTGTTCAGGAGAAGGACATGAAAATAATACAGAAAGCATTAACCCAGCACACCACAATTTATTCAGGTTTTTGTGAAAGAAGCACCTGTGTCAGCAAGAACCTGTCAATCTTCCCTGCCCTTTTAACTAGTTTATTTATTTCTTCTAGCTGAGCATGATGGAATGGATCGAGCCCCCAAAACGAGAACGCAAAGCCAACTACGCTGTGGATGCCTATTTTAGGGAAGCTCTCCGTGTCAGTGAGCCTAAAATCCCAAAGGTCAGCAGTGTAACCTTCTACGTTACACAGAGCTAATATATTCCATTTTCATGAGTGCGCAAATACAAATGAGAACATCGCATCAATACTCTTGTGTGTTTAATTTCAAAGGCTCCGCGACCTCCCAAGCAGCCAAATATTCAAGATTTCCAATTCTTTCCACCGCGGTTATTTGAACTTCTTGAAAAAGAAATCCTCTATTATCGGAAGACGATAGGCTATAAGGTAAGAAAATACAACTTTAATATTAAATAAATAAAATTTTAATATTAAATACCTCGCCCAATTTTTTTTTTTAAAAAAGGCATCTTTTTTTAAAATCAACTGTGTAGCACTGGCTCATTCCAAATAAGGATTTAGGTCCATGATGGCGAACCTCTGGCACGTGTGCCGGAAGTAGCCCACAGAGCCAGCTCTCCGGTGACGTGAGCCATTGGCTGTTCTCTTCCTGGCTCCGGCACACTGGCCAGCTGGTCTTCATGCAGGAGAGAGCGCCGGAAACTGGAAGAGCAGCTGCCCGGTGCGCATGCACACACCGGGCGGCTGCTCTTCTGGTTTCCGGCGTGTACATGCGCACTGGCCACCTGGCCTTCCGTTTTTTGGTGTGCATGCGCATGTGCCCTGGAAGCCTACTTTTCAAGTTTCTGGTGCACATGCACGCTCCTGTTTTGGCACTTGGTGACGAAAAGGATTGTTAGCACTTGTATAGGTTATGACACAATTCACTTCTTCACTGCCTAAGCACTGTATTTCTGCTGTGTCTTCTCCACACATACACACACATGTGTGCTCTCTCATATCTTCATGACACCCAGAAGCTTTTGGAAGCTTTAAAAAGAGCTCTGGACACGTATTGGCTACTTACGTATTGCCGTTACTGGCACACTTGTGTGGAAGAAGTGCCTGCGAGTCATTGAGGAGGAAGAGATGAGTTATGAGAGGTTACGTTCATCTCGCCTGGAGAACTTTCTGAGGCCTGTAAACACAAGTAAAAAGAATGTTTCTCTGCCATTGCCTCGATGCCAGAGAAATATTTCCTCTCCTAAGAAATCCCCAGTCGATGAAAAATGCATCCATCTTGCCTTTTGGCGTTTCAGAGAAAGGCCATAAAGGGAGCCGGATAGGCCTCTACCCAGAACGCTTAATAGCGTGGCTGGCTAAGCTATTCATTCATTTCATTGCTGGTTTTCAGGTCCCCAGGAATCCTGACCTTCCGAATGCAGCCCAGGTGCAGAAGGAGGAACAGCGGAAGATTGATGAATCGGCTCCTCTTTCTGCCGAAGAGGCCGAAGAGAAAGAAAGGCTGCTCACCCAGGTAAATGGCTTCTGGGCTTCATGTTTATTTCTTATTAAAAACAAAAAAGAAAGAAGAAGAAGAAGCTGTGATTATCAACCCGTCTACTTGCTGTGCAAGACATTACCGTAATTATCCCCTGGAAAACTGCAAATGCTGTCTGATCATATGGATTAATTTGTAATTGTGTTGACTCGAAGCCAGAGCCCCCCCCCCCCCAACTCCATCCCCAAAGGGGGAGCAAATGAGATATTTAATGCATATATTTTACATTGAAACTCATACATTCTCCTCTAAATAAGATAATGTTGTTGACCATAACGTGACAGCCATCCCCTACAGCTGTTAGAGGCAGGGGAAAATAAATAATTGTGTAAGCCCCAGCTGGGGGGGGGGGGAACACGCTACCAATAAAGGAAGATATTTGTAGCTCAGGGCTGCTTGGTGCTCTCTGAGCTTGGTTGCTTCCTTGCAGACGTTTCATTACCCAAACGAGGTAACTTAATCAGTACAGGCAGTCCTTGATTTATGACCACAATTGAGCCCAAAATTTCTGTTGCTGAGCAAGTCTTTGTTAAGTGAATTCCGGCCCATTTTGCAATCTTTCCCCCCCCACAGATGTTAAATAAATCCAACTGCAGTTGTTAAGTTAGTAACATGGATAATAAGTGAATCTTGCTTCTCCATTGTCTTTGCTTGGCAGAAGGGCACAAAAGGAGATCACATGATCCCAGGACACTGCAGCTGTCATAAATATGAGTCATTTGCCAAGTGTCTGAATTTTGATCACGTGACCATGGAGATGCTGGAATGGTCATAAGTGTGAAAAATGGTCTTAAATCACTTTTTTCAGTGCTATTGTAACTTCAAATGGTTACTAAATGAACAGTTGTAAGAGGTGGCTCAGTGGCTAAGATGCTGAGCTTGTAGATCAGAAAAGTTGAAGTTCAGCGGTTTGAATCCCTAGCGCAGCGTAATGGGGTGAGCTCCCGTTACTTGTCCCATCTTCTGCCAACCTAGCAGTTCGAAAGCATGTAAAAATGCAAGTAGAAAAATTGGGACCACCTTTGTGGGAAGGTAACAGCGTTCCGCGCACCTTCGGCGTTGAGTCATGCCAGCAATATGACCATGGAGATGTTTTTGAACAGCGCTGGCTCTTCGGCTTTGAAACGGAGATGAGCACTGCCTCTTAGAGTCAGAAATGACTAGCACATATGTGCAAGGGGAACCTTTACCTTTTTACCTTTAAGTAGAGGACTACTTTTACTAGCACTGATGATGTTGCCTAGTTTAATGATAGGTCTGCAAGAAAACAGCCAAGCTCAGAGAGCACCAAGGACCATCCTGAAAAAAAGCTATCCATCTTTAGTGGTTATTCTGTGAATTCCCGTTTGCAAATATTGAAAGAGGAGGGATTAGTTTTCAAAATGCAATTGCCAACTTCTCAGCAGCTAGGTAGGGATAGAAAGTGGGAACTCAACAAAGAGAACAGTCGAAACTGACACAGTTCAGACTGAATCGAAAGGTTTGGCTTTTACCAAAATAAACCTCTCTCTTGCAATGAATTACTATTGACTGAGTTCCTAAGTTGAGGACTACCAGTAGTGGATGGTTCTAGGCACTTTATGTTTAACATTTCATCAGTAACTTTCTGGTACAAAGTTTGCAAGTTTAGATTTTGCTACGTTTTTAATGAGTGTTGTTGAATCAGTGTAATTAGTTTTACGCTTGAATTGCTGGGCTATTCAAACATATTTTTAACACTCTTTGCATGTTATGAGATAGGAAGCATAGAGTTTTTGTTGCCTTCTTCTCCAACAAAATATTCTTAATATATCCTTCTATATTAGCACTTAGACTTATATAGTAAAGATACAGATACTTGAATCCTCCACTTGAAAAGTTGACTTAACAACTGTGTTTTGATCATTTAAATTGCCAGTGTCAGATGAAGTGAATGTTACAATGAAAATACAGATGGTGGTTCCTAAGCTCTCTACAGAGAGAGTAAACATTTTTTACAACACCGTTTAATGTTTGAAAATAGGTACATGAAACATCTAAATCTTTTCTCCCTTGTCTGTTTAAATTTCTGTTTACATTTTTCTATCCACATATTTTTGGTTGAGTCCAATCAATATGACCATCTTGCTCTTTGTTTGAGAATATGTATGTATGTATGTATGTATGTACGTACGTACGTACGTATGTACGTACGTACGTACGCACGCATGTATGTATGTATTTACAACGTGTAACCCCAACATGGTAGAACATCAGTTAAAGCAAAGAAAAACAGCTTGATATTAAAAGTGTGCATTTCAGCTATTATCTAAAAATATACAGCTGTTTCAGCAGCTGGTAGCAGCTGGTTGATATTGTCTGGGTTCTGAAGTTAAATAGAATTCAGTCTGATTAGTACATGGTAGAGATTCCTACAGGAAATTCCAGGTTTATAGGCTGGATTGGGACGCTGTGGCTCAGTGGCTAAGACACTGAGCTTGTCGATCAGAAAGGCCAGCAGTTCCGTGGTTCAAATCCCTAGTGC